AATGAAAACGTACTTACAGTCTGTGAGTCAGAACAGCCGGGATTGTAGTCTACTCTCCCAGGATCAGGAAACAGTCCTCCATAAACGAGAATGCTTGAGAACGGCGCGGCCGGCGGGCTTGCGGCAACCACATGTGACGACCCCGGGCTGGACTCCGCTTCGTCCACGGTGAAAGCTGTTCCGGCGATCCACAGCGCAAAGTTGATGTATTTCTTTGGATTTGAGACTTTAGTCTTTGCAACTTTACAGATCTTCTTTATGCACCAAGAGCTTGTAACACTCCAAAGAGAAAGGAAAAATTTAAATCGCATCATATGACCCCTTTAAAGTTAAGATACTGGGACTTCACCTCATGGACATAGGAAAGAAAACAAAGCTTTTCCACTTTTCAGTCAGGTTAACATATATTCATTTAAAAAAACAATATAACCTAATACTATTATAGGTTTTTTATATTGTGAATCAGTGTTTATTTTTATATCTTCAGGTTTTATTTTCACTTTAGTTTAAATTTGATTAATTTTGTTAATAAAACCTGTGACTTATGTAAAACATGAATTAAGATATTTTGAAGAATGATAGGGACCAAACAGTTTCAGGTTCCATTGACTTTCATATAATTCTTTAATGGGAACTGAAACTCTTAAGTAACCAACATTCTTCCAAATCTTCTTTTATGTTCCACAGAATAAACTCGTACAGGTTTGAAACAAAACTCTGTTCAGATGGGTGCTGTTTTTAATATTAATCTTTTTAATAGTTCTAATCAAAAGAATATGATTGTTAAAGTAAAGCTACTATATGACCAATGGCTCACAAGATTGTTTATAATGAACAGAGCGTTTATTACCACTGATTCTGAACTAGATATGATTTATTTCCGGTTTATTATGACATCATGAAAGCATTACAGACGTTTTCACAAAAAAACAGCAGTAAAACTCCACAAGGCATTTTTGTTTAATGCTTACAAGCAGGTGTCAACATTGAAGGAATGCTTGGTTGTGCACTGTATATTAATAGGCTAGATTTCACTTATTAAAGGCACTGCCCTGAACTATAAAGAAAAGAAAACAGAAAAAAAAAAACATATACCAAACATATACAAAAGTAGCGGTTCAACATATAAAGACCCAGTCTAGATGAGTGAGTGT